TAAAGAAAATAGGAGGAACCTTATTACTATCTAATCTATCCCAAATGAAATCAGATTCACTAGCAAGGTTAGCACAACAATCCTCTAACTTATTGCAATCCCTATTCACAAATTGAAAAATCACTTGGTTAAAATTTCTCAAAAAGAAAAAATCACCTTGGATAGTGCCGTCATTCCTAAAATCCTCTTTGTTAAGCATTTCCTGCACAAACTTCATTACATTGAAGTTATCTCCTTCTATGATAATTCCTTTCACCTCATACATCCAATCTTGAACCAGCTTTCTCAATGATAGTATTACTTCTAGCTCCAAGACCAAACTATCCCAGTGAATGCCTTTAAATCCAAAGGCAAATAAAAATCTTCGTTTACTATCTCTTATTATCCCGCCAACTCCTGATTTGTATGAACTGTGAAGGACTGCATCAACATTAAGTTTAATCCAATCGGTTGGAGGGGGATTCCAAGTGGAAGAAAATAGCCTAAGCTGATTAGAATCCCAGTTGACCGAAGTTAGATTAAAGGCATTTGAAGATGAAGCAAGTCGAACTGCATTTGCTGCTATCACATTTACACTATCCTCTTTGCTTCCATTTATCATCTCATTCCTACTTTTCCAAGTGAGGAATACCATTGAACAGTATAATTTGCCAATAAAAAGATTACATTTAGACATAAAATCCAATTCCTTGTAGCAGTTGTCCAAGCTGGAAAAAACTGGAAGTTTATAACCCCATCTATTAATCATTTTGATTACTTTTTGAAGGAATAAATAATTGATTGCTATATGTCCTGCATTTTCCACATTACCGCATCGTCTCGGACAGCCATTGTAGTTGATAATCCTTCTATACATCAAGAACTCATTAGAAGGAATAGACTTATGATCAAGTCTCCACCAAACCAACTCCACCCTTGGACTTAATTTTAAGTCACTTAACCATTTCCAATTTTTATCTTCTTCTTCATAACTTCTATTATGATCTATTATCATACCGGCCAAAGTTTTCCCTGAATGCTTGAACAATAACTCCCTCTCATCAGCAGGAAGAACTGTGTATTGGAATAGCATTGTTAAGTTAACAAGTTCCTCCCCGAAAACTTGTTTTAACTTCAAATTGTCTCAGCTGCCATTTTGGATAAAAGAATTTAAAGTACCTTGATTTTCTTGTAGTTCAGCCGCAAAAGTTGGCTAGCGCTCAATACTCCTATCTAGTACCCAGATGTCCTTTGTTATATTGACTTTCTTACCATCTAATACTTTCCATCTCAAAATTTGCTGCAATAATTTAGCTCCATTATTGATGATTTTCCAAGTGGTAGATTTCCCATTTGAACCTTCAGAATTCCATATTCCTTCCCCATATTTTGCAGTCAGAGTTCTATTCAGCAAAGTATCCATATTTGATATAAGATTCCAAGCAAATTTAGCCCTCTAAGTACCAAATTTATAAACTGCTGATACAACACCTTGTCCTCCCCACCTTCTTTGTTTGCATAATGTTTCCCAATCAACATAATGGAGACCTTTGCTTTTTTCTAGTTTCCTCCAAAGGAAATCTCTACTTAACTTATCTAATTCATTTAGCACTCCCATTGGAACCAAAGAGTGAGTTGAAATGAAAATAGGTAGAGTTAATAGAGATGATTTGATGAGTAAAAGCTTGCCTAACAATGTAAGAGATCAGTTTTCCATCTATTTAATTTATCATAAGCCTTTTCAATCAAAGATTGAAAATCTGCAGCAGTCAATCTCCTCAATGCCATTCTTACACCCAGGTAGTTCATCTCCTTTACTTCCTTAAAACCCATAACTTTAGAAAGAGCATTGGATCTACTCCTTCCAATAGATTTCCCAAATAGTATTGAAGATTTCTGCACATTCACCTTTTGCCCCGTCCAGCTACTATAGTCCTTTAAGATCTTCAATATTTTCTTTGCACATTTATGGTTTGCTTCAGAAAAAAAGATGGTATAATCTGCATATTGAAGATGGGAAATTTTTTCCGCTGAAGGAGCTATTTT